TATACCTCGATAGCTGTGTATACATGTATGTTGGACTACAGCCAAGACCCGTAGCGAAAGCCAAGCACATGCAATATAAATACAGACAACGAGTACATTGGGATAGTCTTTGTATTCATTTTCATTTTTCGGGGCAATATTTTCGGCTGAGTAGCAAAGGAATAGCAATGCCGTGGGCGATTCAAGTCAACTTGGCTTGGTCGAAAGCACGTCGGTCGAAGAGGTGATGGTAAAGTCTGTATGTCACCGGATGGAGCCGGTGCAGGAGCGACTTCCTCTTCCTTGGAATTGGGTTTTGTGCACTGTCTATTGTTTCCTGCAAAGCGGGTTACGCTTTCGCCCAGACCATCCGGACATGAGCATCATCAAGAGAACAATGCTATGCGCAACGGGAATGCAGGTGAGATTGTCAGATTGCTGAGGCCTTTGGCAGATTCCCCTTCTCTTACATTGCCTGAAATCGAATTCGGACAGTGTCTGGGCATGAAAACTAGTTTAAGAGTCGAGGAATGTTGCACACATTTAACACGAATAGATTTACAAAGATTACAAATACCAATAGGCAATGAACCCTTTTCTTTCGTTCCAAGGATGAGAGTTTTAAAAATAACAATGTTAGATTGAATAATTGGAATGCAAAATACAAACAGTTGTTAGTATTAAATGCAATCCTGAGACTTATTCTTAAAATAAATAAACATTAAGGTAAGACAAAGGGAAAGTTAAGGTTCTTTTTCTGTTTATTAAACTTTCCTTAAAAAAGAAACACTGGATTCTATAAACTATAATACAGTACTATTTTCAAGAACTATAAAGAGCTTAGAAATATTTCCTTAACTACTTTATTTTTTCCGAATGAAATTGATATTAATTGGATGAATTCCAGTATGTCGGAGGTTAACGTTTGAAAGCGTTGACGGAAACCAATCAGATTAGCAGCCAATCGAAGCTATAAGCCAAAGTGGCACACACTACGCAAATGAAAATGTTACCCGTATCGCAAAAAAAAACCCAACCATGCTGTCGATGTGGGATTTCCACGGAAATTAAGCTGCTCTCAATGCCAACAGCACAGAAGGAGCGATGATGTTTGCCCACGATGACTTTAACAATTTAAAACACCATCGCACACACAAATCCGAATTGTGGCTGGATTGCCGGTGAATGCATCCTCAGCTCCTTTGCCTGCTCTGCCTGCGCATATCCCACATCAGCTGTCAGTCAGCCAGCGTTTTAGGCAGGATTTTCCCAACCATATTGTAGCTATGCAACGGTTGGAAAATATAAGCAGAGACATCCGGTTGCCTGTAACTTGCCCGGGCAGAGTAAAATACAGACAGCCGGCAGGCAAGGAGAATCAGGTTGATATGGTAAATATATGTAACTCAGTGGCTACAACTGCACACAACTTGCCACGCATTTACATATCAAGATTTGCTGCTGAATTGTGGCTTTGCTCAAGGAACTGGGTTTTAGAAAGTGCTACACAATGGAAGATAAGCAGTTTGTCAGATCTTTCGCAAGGTTATTCAGATTGTTCAGCTTATAGACTTATATTACACGAACTCGTTTGGTTAAAAAAATAAATATTACACATTGCCAGTAAACCTTTAGATGCGATTATCACATACTACAAGAGTTCAGTTTTGTCAAAAATAGGGAGCTGTTTATGTCCTAAATACCCAAACATTCTTTCACTCTTTCGAATTTTTCCCTTACCTTAAAAACATCCATTAATTTTTCAGAGGAAACGGAAGAAAAGGAAATTCTGCAATGCGCAATTGTGCGCCATAAAGTATGAAAACGTCATTAAATTTTTGATTGTAGAAATCAGTTTTCCTGTTTTTGTAAAAGTTCTGCGACAAAGTAAATGGCGAAATAATAGTTTAGCATGGGTACAGTTCTTAGTGGATGTTTGATTTGTTTGATATTGTCGGGTGACGACATCTTTTTTAAATATTCAACAAAATTCAAGTGCAGCTAAAAAGGAGCACAAAAAATGCCTCTATTCAGCCTTAGCATTTCTTTTGAAAAGACCTAAAAGAAAACTGCAAGTCTGGCACAAATAAAGCTTTTTTATCCAAGTTTATATGTGTGTGCTCGTTGCTGGGCCATAAGCTTCCTTAGAGAAAAACATTAATATAAAAACAAAGTTGAAGGGAAAATCTCAGAAAAAAAAATCGGTTGGCTTTTGTTTGGTTAAGGCTTCAGGATATATGTAAAAGATCATAGAGTGCTGTTTATGCATGCTCAACCTCTTTTTTTATAGGAAAAAAACAAAGTCAGCTAGTAAGATTTTTTTTTTGAAGTTTTCGGGACAAAAAAGCTACTTTTTAAAAATGTTTGTTAATCATATCGAACATAAAAATTTGTACAAACTTATTTGAAATGCCGTAAATAAACCGTTGGTTCATAACAAAACTATTTATTGGCGAAATAAATTTCTGTAATACTTAAAGCAATATTTTAAAAATTAATCAAAAAGCATAGTATTTACATATTCCAGCACTTTGTTTATTTATATAGAGGCGGCTACAATAAATAATAAAAAATCATTTAATAATTTGAAAACGATGGCGGGTACAACAAATACATTTTCCACTTGAGCCCCCTCACAACAATACCATAAAAGAGGTTAACTGTCAGAATCATGGTGCATCTATACAATACCACCTACAATCCCCCCACATTTCAGGGGAGCTTGTCAATGACGATGGCAGCCAGAACAACAACAAAAAATTCACAGGCAATGCCCTGAAGCCAACGCAAATAAAAATGACAACAAAACACAATCCTCAGCAAAGGCAAACAAAAATGGGGAAGACAAACACAGACAGTTAGACAATGGGCTCAAAAGCCAACGATAGATATGAGTGGAGTATGATTCAATTCCATTAGCAAACGTTATGCACAGCGAACTCGACCGAAAATCGATGAGCGCTTCGCTTCCATCATCGTTGTTCGTCAAATTTTCTTCTAATTCCTAACGCACGCAATGCAGTTCAAGTGAAAATGGGTTGACTGCTAATAGAACATTGGGGACGAGGTGGTGGTCGGTCGTTGTGGGAGTAGCGCGAGTAGCGTGAGTTAGTTGGCCACGTCACTAGGTCGTCCCAGATTGCGAGTAGTAAAGTTTAAAAGTCATGTCTGACATTTTGGCAACACGTAAATCCGCGCACTTCCTGAACACACTGCACCCTCGACCCAAATGGGTGGCTGATGAGCAGCCAATCGAGGTCATGAACTGGTGTGAGTAGGGATAGTCTCCATAAGCTTACGCGAAAAACGCCACAACATGCTGCTAAATTTTTTTTGCAATTTTCACAGCTAACGAAGTGGGACACCATGAAATTCCGTACGAAATTCAAACGGAAGTTGTTCTGCTAAGGCCAGCAAATTGCTAGAAATATTTTGAAGATTTGTGATAACAAAGGATTAGAGAAAAATGTACGTTTAATTACTACACAAAACTTGCATAAAAACAATTCAAATAAACTCCATAAAAGGTGTTTGATATTTTGTTGTTATTGCAGCCAAATAAATACCAAAAAAGGTATATATATCGTGGTTTTCCCACACAATAAAACCGAATTGAAACATTAAACCCTCTGTCATAAAGGCTTTCCATAAGTCACAAGTCAGAAAAAGCAAACTTTTGTATATCAACCAATAATTATTGTAGCACCATAAAGTCCCATTCTGTTTGTAATAACAAATGTCTTTTTATCCCATATAGACACCACATATGTATATTACTTGCACGCACGCCAACCTTGACCCATAAAAGCTAATGAATTTAATTAACCACCCCTACGGAAGTCGCCTCAAGTAAACATAAGCCAAGTAAAGCGGCAGGACTCTTCATATGTCGGCCAAGCCAGGCAAACACTTAAACTCAGCTCCTTATGTAGTGCTACACCCAAGAAAATGGCAATCAATATAGGATAGGGGTACAAAGACATGCTAAACTAGCCGGCAAGGCGCCCAATCAATTAAAGGGTAATCCAATGGGGAATACCCCGCAGCTCAGACGGCTGAATAAAAAAATCTTGAAGCGCATTTTCTTTGTCATGTGGCGCATAAATAATTCAAATAGCGCCTGCCTTCAGACGGCGACGCTTTTCAATAGCTTCGCTGCACAAAGGACTCAAGTGGGACAATGACAATGAGCCTTCTGTTCCCTCCAGGGTGAAATGCATGACAGAGTTTCTTTTATTTGTCTATTGCTGACAGGAAGTATGCCAATCTGAAAGTAATTTCAGCGTAATTGGATAGACGCAGCCCATTTTAAAACTTATTTAACAGCCACGAGGCACATCAGCAGTCGCGTGGAAATTTTTAATTTTAAATCGATTAAATCTACGATATTAAAGAAAAACTTTTTCAATCTTTTTTATACCCAAATGTAGAGGTATTTACATTATTTGTTAATTATTTAACAACCTAGTTAGTTTAATTAATTTTTTAAATGTTTTAAAAAGTTTTTTGATAGATAAAATTGATTAGAAGTCAAATAATTCAATCAATTTTGGATTGGAATTCAATTATTTTGAAAATCAAAGTCAAACAGAAATCTATTTCAAAGTCTAATGGGAAATTATAACTATTATTTAATAAATTCTGTATTATTTGATATTTTTTGATAAGTACCTCTTCTTTCTGGAAAACACGTAAACTTTTTAATAAAAAATACTTTAATAGGAGACTTTAGATATACGCCACCGTGCCAGATATAACAAAACTGGGAAAGCAGTAAAAGTTTCGTCATTCCTCAGTCTTTTTACTCTACTATTCTCAAACTGCAATTTCCTTTTTTTTTCTACCTATGAAAAATGCACAGGTTGAAAGTATTTTCTCACATGCCCGTACCGTGGGTAACTGAACCCAAACAGCAGACAAATATTCATCTGCGAATCCTATTTCAAATAGATAAGACTGTTATTGAACCGAAGGTGGGGCGGGGATGGGAGTTTTTGTGGTTCAGGGTTTTTGGCGCTCACCATTCTCGATGGTCTCCTTGGCACAGGATATTATTTTTCCTTTGCGACGTCGCAAATTTGATTCAAAATTGTTGTCATCGGTGAAATCGTCTTCGCCGCCATCCCTTGGTCCGCCGCCAACGTCGCCGGCTGTTGTAGTCACCGTTGTTGTCGCTGTGAACTCTGGCACATCCTCCGACGACTGACGTTCCGAGTGGGAAACTCCATCGCCTTCTCCGCCGTCACTGCCGTGCATTAAACTTCTAAAACTTTGGCTCATGCTGTGCCAAAATTCGTCTTAGATTTATTTTAAATTTTATTTGTTTTTGCTGTTTGATATTTTAATTGATTTCGGTTTGACGCTTTCAATGTTTGTTTGCTTACACATTAACATACGTTCACATAATAATCCGACTATAAAATTCAGATGAATTCATTAGATGACCCAAAAAAGTAGGCAATGTTTTGATACGAAATCGAAGGAAAATGCTCAAATTAGTTGCGTGATTAAGAGAAAAACGTGTGGGGAAAAGCGTAGCATGCCATCGGTCAGGGAAAATGAAAAGCCAAGACTCTTGCCGGCTAACAGACGTTATTGTTGTCTCAGCTGCTGCCGTAAATGTTGGCTAGTAAAAGTGGGTTGGTCGCAGTTGGTGCATGACCGACTAGAAAAGGGTGGGTTCAGACATTACGCACAACCCCAAAAACGCCGATCCTAAATGCGTTTCGGAGAACTACAAAAACTACAAACGAGCTTTCCCGGACAAGTAGCACGAACAGAAATTAACCATTTAACGGCTGTGAAAAACATAAAAAAGAAATTCAAACGGCTTTCTTATTTCATAATCGCTTCTTGCAATTAGGTTAAACAATCGTCGAGCCACCAAGAACGTTGTTTTTGTCAACACACTAGCCCCGTTGGGAAATATAAATTATGCGTTTGACACGAAACGCGGCGCTTGGCCTTTTAAAAACTTTCCACTATTTCTTGTACCGATTATTTTTATTTAATAACAGTATTTGAATATTTATTTTTTCCTTCTACTTGGAAATGTGTCATGCGGAACGCGTCGAAAAGAAAGTGTTTTGCGCGCTGGCAAATGCCGTCAGAGACTGAAATGTCTTTCACTTGGCTGCGGGAGTGAAAAATCCAACACAAAGAGCACCACCAGCGTGGTGAGTTTCTCAGTTATTGATTTTGTGTACTGCAAAGACAGCAAACGCAAAAGGGCAACATTTGTTGGTGGGTTTCCTTTTTGGGCGGAGGACTCGAACAGGCAGGCAGGGCGAGGCAAGCGTTCAAAAAGCCGGCTTTAATCGAGAGCGAGAGAGTGTAAGAGCCAGGCAGACAACTTGGCAAACAACAAACAATGAAACAGTCAGGATGAGTACATAAAAACAAACATGATTTCATCCTCTGGTAATAGAATACCTCAAATCGTGTTTTTAAATATTTTTTTTTTAATTTTTTTAAATTCTGATTTAACAAAAAAATATACAGGCACTTAATAATGCTTTTTAAATTCGATTTGATTTTGGACCAGTTTTCAATTAATTAATTTATAATTAAAATGAAAAAGTAAAATCTATTTCGAACGAAAACACTTGCAAAACAAATCTGGAAAGCGTGATTTACATAATTAAGCAAAATAGTTTTTTTCAATTGAAACTGTTTTATTATATATATTTAAACTTAATATCATAAGCGCATTGAAAAAGAAATAATTGTTAAATCTTCAAGCAAATTTTCTTATCTTGCATTTGAGAAATAGTAAGGCTTTTTTATATATAGTACTTATATATCGCCTACCGAAATTCAAACTTTAACGAGGCGAAGACTCAGTCAAAATTAATTCGTTAGGTTCAAACATTTAAACATTTAAGTCCCGATTTTTAAAGTTAGTCCCAGTCTTGTTCGTCCTCGGCATTGGTTGCATCAGAAACGGCATTCCCCTGTGCACATTAAAATAGTTATTAGTATCCGCAAGGAAAAAAGGATATAAAAAGGGAACTCACTCTGCCTCGCACATCAACACCACCAAACCCGTTGGAGTAACCACCGCCACCGCCGCCGCCCATTTGACTGAGGAAGCTTGGGACCGTCTGCCCTGACCCCTCCAAAATTTTGATCAAGTCCGATGCAAGAGCACGATCCTGATCGGGATCAAAGAACGAGGTGGCCCGACCATTGTTGCCCACGCGACCTGTGCGTCCAATGCGATGCACATAGTCATCAATGTTGTTGGGCATGTCAAAGTTGACCACATGCTTGACATTCTTAATATCTAAATAAGACAGGAGGAGTAAAGTGTAAATACATAAATTCTGTTGCTTTTGCGCTTTAACATTATTACCGAGTCCACGGGCCGCCACTGAAGTGGCTATGATCACCTTCATGGTTCCGTTCCTGAAATCACGCAAGGCCTGCTCGCGTTGACTCTGGAGACGATCGCCATGGATTGAGGTAGTCGGGAATTCGGTTTCCGACAAGAATGAAGCCAAGAAGTCGGCGCCTCGCTTAGTCTCCACAAATACAATAGTACCATCTGCTTGCTCACGCAAGATTTCCTTTGAAAGAAAAAATAGATAAGTAATTTATAAAATAGAATTATACCTTAATAAGCTAAATACAATTTGTAGTTATTAAATCATCTTTGGCAATAGGAAATTTGGCCAGCTGTAGATCAGAAATTGAATTGTTATCTTAATTTCAATAATAAAAACACTTACCATAAGCTTGTTTCGCTTGTTAAACTTGTTAACTTCATGAATAGTCTGCTGGACATCGGAACAGGCTCCTCCAACCACGCCAATGGTAACGAAAACATAGTTATTCAAGAACTCGCCCGCCAGGCGCTGAATCTCCTCCGGGAATGTGGCCGAAAACATCAAAGTTTGGTGGTCCGGATTCATTGTCTGGTGGTGCATGAATTTGCGCATGGTGTCTGAGAAGCCCATGTCCAGCATCCGATCGGCCTCGTCCAATACAACGAAGCGTGTGTGATCGAAGGTGATAAAGGTGCGCTCCACAAAGTCCATCAGCCGCCCCGGTGTGGCGATAAGAACATGGCAACCTTTGGTGATGCACTCGTTCTGATGCTTGAACGAGGTGCCGCCGTACACAATGCTGATCTTCAGATACGAACCGTAGCCAAACTTCCTCGCTTCGGTGAAGATCTGTATAGCCAACTCCCTGGTCGGAGATACAATCACCGCCTGTGGCTTTCCAATCTCAAATTCTTGGGGCTCATCCAGCAACTTGCTGATAATCGGCAACAGAAAAGCAGCCGTTTTTCCGGAGCCAGTCTGCGCACAAGCCATCAAATCACGGCCATCGGCGATCACCGGGATGGAGACTTTCTGGATCGGAGTCGGAACCTTGTAGCCCGATTTGACCACGTTTGTCTGGATGGCGGCGTGCAATTGAGCCTCATCGAAGTTCTTGATAGCTTTGGGCACGTTTTCGCCGCTTACCTAAAATAGTAATAACCTTTATAATATACAATTTATGAATTTAAGTGGCACATGGTGTTACCTTAACAGGAATGTTGTCGTATTTAGAAAAATTAATTCCTGAAGTGATGCCAGTGCTAAAGATCTCAGTGACGTCAGTGGACGGTTCGGGCGGAATATAAAACTCGCGTTTCTTCTCGCCCTCCTCGCCAAACTCGTTGTTATTGTTTACATCGTCATCATTACGGCGACGCCTTTCGCCTCCTTCGCGTTCTCCTCGCTCACGGTTGAAGCCTCCGCGGCCTCCACGACGCTCATCGCCTAAATAAAACGTGTATCAAATAAATAATCATTTATAAAAATAGTAATCTAAAACTAGTTAGTTTAAGTACAAATTTTCATAATTTATAATTAACTTTTACAGTGACAAACACAAGAAACAATTGTTAGGCAAAAAAATGTACCAACAATTACATACAATTCTAAGGTTTTTTAGTTTTTTTTTTTATAAACGACATTTAATAACACTTGTGTATTTGATTAAAGTTACATGATTGCTTAAATACATTTTGATTAAAATTATAAATTTAAAATTCAAACCAGTTACAAATTTCATAATTCAATAAACTGAAAGTTTTCAGCGTATTTCACCGAAATATACATGATAGAAGTATTGTAAAACATAACATAATAGATTCAAAATTCTTAATCTTTCCAAATGTGAAACTTGCCTTTAAGTTTTAAATTGATTATTTTATATTACGTAAAAACTTTCAACAGAATCTGTTAGACTGAATTGAAAACAATTCCAATAATAATGTGGATTGTATTTAAATAATATAAAATATATAATTTAAAACGCAAAGTTTAAACAATGTTTTATAAATGTTACAAATTAAAGTAAATCACGTTTATAATTTCTCTTATTCTAACAAAGGGAGAGTAATCTTCCATTATTGTTTTTTTTTTCATCTAACGAAGACTGGCAAATCTTCCATCTGTGCTAAGATTTATGAAATCGGCCGTCTTTAGTTGAAGTAAAATATGGAAGGCCATCGCCATATCCTGTTTATTCCGGATAAAGGATAGTTTCTTTGTATCCACCTGTGGCTGCTTGACAAGGGCTTCAAAAAGGGCAGCAATAAGGTGCAACTTTTCCTTGTCTGTATTCAGAATTATCTTGGGGTTGTAGACTTTGACAGCGGGCATAGAATAATAACTTGAGGACCCGAGGCTGTTGCCCCTCGAATGCAACAGCGACTTGCCCTGCACACTGAGTTCCTGTTGCCTATCGACCATTAAACGAAACATATCAGTGTGTTGCACAATGTAACGCAAGTCGTTCATCGACTCTCGATATAGTTGATTTTGCATTGCTGTTCTGCGTTCCCTTGCCGTTTGCAAGCCATCTGTGGTGAACGTCGCTGCAGAATCTACTACATTTTTGGTCACATCTGTGCTTGAAAGATTGTATGACTGATTCGGCAGCCTCAGTATCTGCACATCGGTCACAATAGCCCGATCACTCAAAGTAGCCAAAGAGTTCGAAACAGACAGCGGAGCGGCTTGCTCAATTTCCAGTGGCATAATTGGTTGTGACATATTGGCAAACATATTGTAGGTGTCCGTCGTATCGGGTCTCATTTCAAGCGGAAGTTTACGTCCTAGGAAAGCGGCATTTGGATCCTGATTGATTGGAGTAGAGCTTATGGGCGGTAACGAAGCAGCTGGATCAAAGGGAACTATCTGGTCGTCAGCACTGGCATCGGTGTCCAGTGAAGGCATCACAGGAGCCGGCAAGTAAGCTGTAGATTGCATACCAGCACCACAAACCGAAAAACTCAGAGACACCTCCTGAGTAATTTCAACAGAAACAGCCGATGTTGTCGCTGGCTGCTGAATCTGCTGTTGTCCAGAATTGCCGCCAAATACAACGGGAGGCAATAACTCTGGATACTGTCCAACTGTCCGCTGCGAAATACTTTGTAGAAATTCAGTTATAAAAGTGTTTGCAACATGACGTGGGCTTCGCTGTGCATCCTCACCCTGGAGGATTCGGATTCGTTGTTCCGGCGTTGATGGAGGAGTTGGTACCAGCGGAGCTGGTGCTGGAGCAGCACGAGGAACGCGTGCTCGTGGGCGTGGAGGACGTCGGACTCGCGGTGCTTGCCTCGGAGGAGCTGGCCCATCGTCATAGTTAATTATCTGCGCCCGCGGCCGAAAAATCAAAGACCACTCACGTTGTGGGCTTAAAGGAGGTGTAATCGCAAGAGGTGTTAATGATTTGGACACTTCCATTGCCGGTGCCGCCTCTTTCGATTGCGGAGAAAAGCTCATTTCCATCTCACGCGACTCAGCGGTGAGGCGTTGATGGAACTCAATCTCTTCGATGGCCGACAATTTTGGCCTGAACCGTGGGCGCAGCATTGATGATCCAGGAGCGCCAACTACAGCTGTTTCATCCGTATTTGCCGCCGGCAGTAATAAGGTGTTGCTGCTGTCTGGTTGCTCTTCCGGTAGCTGTGGAAACGCTGGCCCAAATGATTCTCCTCCAGGTAAAGACAATCGATTAATCCCATCGTCATAGGTCAGATTGGGTCTAAATGACAAGCTGTGGAACGGACATAGCTTTAGAGTTAATGCTCGGCATGACATATTTGAAAATAATTCGAAGAAGGATATAAGGGATATGCTGGGTAAGGTTCATAGAGAAGCATGCTACATCTTATTTTAAATGACTGTCAAAATCAAACGCTAACAAAATTATGTTTAAGTGTCTTTAGAATTTTTTGGTGACTGCCTAAATTTTGTATTCTTTTCGTAAGCTTTTAATGTTTGAGGTCTACAGCTCGCTTTTTGGGAACAGGAACTTTAGAGAGCACCCACAGATGGTAAGATAGATAGAAAAGGATTGTTATTATAATTATTTGTTTTAAATACCCCAAACCGCTGTTCTGTCCGAGAGGGGTGCTCGAATCACCTGCCCCCGATGTTCTTCCGGGTCCTCCAGGCGCCGACCAGGGGATCTCATCATCGGGCGTCCCGGCAAAGCGACTGAAATAAACAGCATCTGGCGTTCCCTGATTCTGGGAACGCTGATGTCTTGCCACATTTACCAGACTGCTGGCCTGCAGGCTTCTAGAGCTGTCTGTTTCGTGTCGATTTGATGGCTCAGTTGCAGCAGTTGCACTGGTAATTGTCCTACGCTCACAAGTCCGGATTGAACGCCGAGGCTCTGGATTGGTCAGCCAAACCGGAAACGGTGAAATTGGCCAGTTCAGATTTGTGGCTAGCTCACGCGGACTGCGAAAGTTTACTGAACACATTTCGTGGCGAAGCACAAAGTCTTCGGTTAGCCAGTGACGAAATCTGGTCGAACCGTAGGTGGAAAGAAGAGTCACCTCTTGACCATTTCCTTCACGCTCTTCGGCAGCTTCTCGAATAGCTTCTGGATCATCGTTTAGTCGACGAAACTTTTGATAGTGATCCACAAGCTGTTGCGCTAGGGATGCTGTAACCTGCACTTCTCCCACGACTTGCCTCGACCTGTTGTGCGGAAGTTGCGGCACCACAATCTGAGGTGGTAAATTCATCTCCAATTGCGATATATTTGCTTCCCAATTCACGCCCAAGCTGTGAAACTGATCAATCATATTTGCTCCCGGTCCAACTTGAGGCTCGACTAGCAATCGGTTTATGTCGTCTATAAAGCGATCCATCATGGCAGCAGTCTCACGTATCTGCTGTACTTTTTGTTCACGACTTTCTTGATCAAGACGCTCGCAGGCATTCCACTCGAGGTTTACCAGATCCTTAAATGCTTTTAACAAATATTCACGCAACTCACGCACCTTGGCTAAAGTGGTGTACTTGCTGAGATCGAGTTGATCAATAAATGCCTCTACCACATCCTTATCGCAGCTGGATGGGATCGGTGGCAGATCCATAGCTAGTTTCGGCCAACCCACAAATTGGACAAAACGAAAAACAAACAAACAAGACAACAAATCACAAACACAATGTTAAGTTAAGACTACTTTGAAGTACATTTAAAATCTATTTTCACAAAACCATAATATTTGCCAGTTGATAAGAAAAACGCACTTACCGTCCTCATTGTCATCGCGACGACCTCGGAAACCGCCACCGCCTCCATCGCGACGTCCTCCGCGGTAGCCACCTCCATCGTCATCTCCATCACGATCTCCACCCCTGCGATAGCCTCCACCCCTTCCTCTGCCACCTCCTCCGTCAGAGCTTTTGCCCTTGTCCTCATCATCGCTCCATTCGGAGACCACCTTCTGTGGCTTAGCAGCTGGGATATCGTCCCAATCTCCACCGCCACCACCGGCACTTTTAGTAGGAGCAGAAGGCTAAAAAAAAAAGGCTCCCATCAGCAATCTTTAATGATTTATATTTATATTTAACTTATACAAACCTCATCTTCCCAGTCGGACATATTGATAGATTCTTATTGGCTGAAACCAGTATAGAAAAAACTGTTAAATTAGTAAATAATTAACTACAATTTCTATTACACATTAGGTTACACAAATATGTTACTTCCCTTGCATTCTTACGTTTTCTAAGCAATTTACAACACTTTATATAATACATAAATTTATCCCAATTAATAACATTAGAGAAAGAAAATCGTCGTCTACTTTTCAACCTTTTCAAATTGAAATTGGCGCCAAAACAAACACTGCCAAAATGTTTAATAAACTCAGTTTATGTTGTTATAAACAAGAGCGATGTTTTCCACCGCCTAAACCTTGAAACTGCTCATTTTGCATTTATTTATTATTATAATTATTATTTTTTTTTTTTAGGGTTTTTCAGCCAATGTCATGAATTTTTCATTTTGAATACTCCCTGTTAAATCGAGAGCCCGCCAAACACAGCTGCCAGTCACAGGGATTTCGGGCATTCACAGCGAAACGGCTTCGAAAAACGTGAGTTTCTGTTTTTCTATGTATACCAAGAACACATGTGGGCGCCTTTCGCTGTGTGCGTTAGTTGGCCCATGTGCGTGTGCAATCGCGTGCGATAGTGTGTGTGTAGGTAATACTAGCAGCGAGGCGAAGAAGAAGAAGAAACGCTGAAAATTAAGGTTAGAGAGCAGCAGCCACCAAACAGCCAGCAGAAAAGTAAGAAAAATAACCCAGAAATTCATTATTAAATAGCGAAAAATCAAGTTAATCCAAGGGCTTTCCAACTGGAGCCAGAATCTAACCGAAAATTTGGGATATTTACCCATAGTTTGTGATAGAAAACCCCACGAATCTCAAAGGGTGTGAGAAGTGGTGCGCGAGCGAAAAAGGAAAATCAATTTCTAAACTGTGTGTATAAAAATTCTTTTGCAGGAAAGAGCAACAAACTAGCCAGCTAGCAGCAACCAACACAACCTATCCACACAAAAATCATGGACAGCGCCGGTAAAAATCGTTATGAACTCTTGTTCATGGACGACGATGTCAGCGATCCATTAGATAATCTTGGGGCGCCGACATCCGCCGCAGCAGCAGCAGCAACCGCAGCAGCTGGCAAGAAGAAGCAGCCATCAGCTGGGGCTACAGCGGCCACCAAAACGACCGCCAAGGTGAACAACAACAATAATAAGACCGCAGGATCGAATGGAGGACCCAATGCCAAGAAACCAAATCAGGCCGAAAAGGAGAACAAACCGAACAATGCTTTAAACAAACCCGATGGCAAAAAGTTTACACCATCTGGCGACAAACCACAGTTCAATAATAGCAATAACAAACAGGGCGGTGGCGGTCCTCCACGGACAGGAGGTGGCCCCAATCGGACACGTGAATTTGGCAGCGGTCAAGGACAGGGACAGGGTGGTCAGGGTCAAGGACAGGGACAGCAGCGCAGCGTCAACTTCCGTCAACAGAATGGCAATGCCGAGACCCGTGAGCAGCGCAACAATCGCCGTAATGTTCGCGAAAATGGTGGAGCACCCGATGGCCAGCAGTCGCGTCCCTATCGCGGACCAGGAGGTGGTGGCCAAGGAGCCGGAGGAGATCGCCCTCAGCGCCAGAATCGCAACTACGATGGCCAGAACAGGAAGCGAGAATTCGATCGCCAGTCTGGATCCGATAGAACCGGTGAGTGAGGCACAAAAAACCAACAACAATTAAGAATAAGAAACAGTCTTACTTTAGTAATTCCAAAATTAATTTAGCCAAGAAAGTACCTCCAATCTCGGCCATAAGTATAATGCAAATTAGCGCGGAACTTGGATGGGTTTGGGGAGTTTCCCAAAAAATCACTTTTAATCAAATTCTAAACAAACGTTTGAAGAGATTTCTGGGACATGCTTATCTCTATTGCATATAAAAGGGGTTTTAGTTCGAAAAGATAGCATAATAGACTGTATAAAGTATCGAATCCCCAATGCTTTCCATCTTAAATATTATTTTGATATTTAAATATTCTAATGTTGAAGAAGTCGTTAAACTTTTTATAAACGATAAAGTTAAAAGCAATTAATATATTTTTCTGTCTATACGGGTGGTGATCGGAACCTAAATCTAAACCCCATCATGAGGCATGGCAGACATAACCACAAAATGAGCCCGTCCGCCCACCAAAAAAAAATATAACAAATAAAACAAAAACAACGCTCCATGACAACCAGAAAAGCGAACTCTGGAGGCGGAAAAAAGGCAGGGAATCCACATTCCATCCATAGTTTACACGCTACCAATAGATCATGATTTAGAATTTGGATTCATGGGAAATTTCTAGTGGGTTTCATAAATATTGTTCAGAAACTTATTTTACCATATCGATATTAAACAAGACTCATACTTTTTTTTCTGAACTCACTGAAAACTTTTAGCAATACGAAGAATTTAATATTACACCAATAACACAATTTCCCAATACCAAATCAACGCTATAAAATTTGCTTGCTACGTACAAGCAAGATATTGAGTGCAAGTATTTAACGATCTATAATTAAACGACTCATAAATAAACGCTTACAAAAATGATGCCGCCTGTATGAATTCCCAAACTATTTAAAAAACATTGGGCAATTCTTAATGCCAAGAAAATATATTAAATATTGAAAAGTTTAAATAATTGTGGCAAAACAACAAGCCCCCATAAACAAATTGGCAATGGACAAACGGCGCAGCGAATCTCTCGCGCACGTGGTGGATAAGTCAAATCAATACTAATGGACAGAAAATCTTGAACAAGCTGCTACCATCACACTTCGCATTTTCCGCTCTTCACTGATGCCTTCTATTGAGACTGTTTCATTTTTGGAATATCCAAAATTATAATCACAGCAGCAGCAACAGCAACAGACAAGACGAAGCTCTACACAGCACAAATCGAAAGAGAAAATGTGTTATAAATAGTTTGGCTATCTTCTTGTCGGCATTTCCCATTTAACACAACTGTTTGTAGGAGGTCTTTGCGTAGCATAAACAGGGAAATAGGGGATGAAAAATAGTTCCCTGCTGAATCTGATTTCAGCGAACGGTTGCTGTCGGCTTATCTGTCTCACGCGATGGCAGTGAAATAGCTTAACGTGGTTAGATTTCAATAGAAATGGTGATTCCTAGCTACAATTGACCTAATTAAGACAATATTGATAAGAGGTAATGCTAGAATAAAGTATACCTTTGGATTGAGTTGAAAGTAATAGATTTTTGGTATAAATATATTGTGCCCAACTTTAACTTACCAATTAATTCAAGGAATACAAATTGACTTCAGCTCTGTAAGGAAAAAAATAAGTAGATTTAGGTATGTGCGAAATAATAAAAGAAATGCAAACTTACTTATTCACGATTTGCAGATAAGTTAAATTTACCCAAGTATCTGCAATTAAAAAGATAATTAAAATATTTATTAATCCGTATTATTATTGCATTATCCACAGGTGTGAAATCAGTTGACAAGCGCGATGGAGCTGGATCCCACAACTGGGGATCGGTCAAGGAAACCATTGACGATGTGAACAAGAACGAAAGCGAGACCAATGTGGCCAATGCAGAAGGTGGAGCCAAGGCTGACGAATCGGGCACCGAACCACAGAGCGAACAGCAGGCGGCCGCCGAGGAGGAGGCCAAAGAACTGACCTTGGACGAATGGAAGGCCCAGCAGGGACAACGCATCAAGCCAACCTTCAACATCCGCAAGGCTGGAGAAGGTATGACCACAACCCTAAAGACCACCTTCCTTCCCTTTTTTATGGTTCGCGATTTAAGATGATTTTAAAAATCGAACTCCAAAAAGCAACGAAATCTAAACGAATTCTTTTTGTAAAATTAAAAAATTATATGGTACTTTTTTTGGCACGCCATAAACGGGTTTAAAGAGGTCCTATGAGAAATAAAAACTAGATCACTTGCTTATTTCGTTACCTAGAAAACCATCGAATTACCTACAATCATTTTTTTCCACAGGCGAGGACACCACACAATGGAAGAAAATGGTCGTCTTAACCAGCAACAAAAAGAAGGAGAACGACAGCGAAGAGGAGCTTGAGTACGATCCTGCCTTGTATCCACAGCGCGTGGGCAGGCAGCAGCGTGTCCTGGATATTCAGTTCAACTTTAACGACGGTCGTCGTGGCGGACCAGGTGGATTTGGAGGACGCGGTGGCCGTGGAGGTCCACGACCCGGCGGATTCGGCGGCGGACCACGCAGCGAGGGTGGCAATCGTGAGGGCGGCAACCGTGAGGGTGGCGGAAACAACCGTGACCGTGAGGGTGGAAACCGTGGACCTCGCGATGGTCAATCTGGGCACCAGCAGCACTCCAATAACGAGGGCGGTGCTCCGTCCACTCAGAATCAGAGGCCGCCCATCGAGCGTCGTGGTGGTCCGGGCAACAACCAGAACAACAACCACAACAACAATCAGAATAACAGCGGTCCAGGTCAAAACAAGCGTTTCGAGCGACAACAGAACACTGCTCCCAAGGTCAACGACGAGCGTCAGTTCCCTACACTGGCTTAAATCGAGCGTTTGAGCAGGAGCAGATTGTTCCTCAAATTGCAGTTTTGGTGACTACTGAAGAGGATGGAAAGCAAGTTACCAAAATGAAATATTATAAATTACTTATATCACAGACAAAAAACTTTTCAAAAAACAAACAAAAAAGGGGGAAAAAAGAAACAATTGTAGCCGCCATATAAGCCAAAAGCAACAAAAAATACCAACCAACAAGCTAAGCTAAAAATGGATAATAAATTATACACATATATATTTAAATATATGAAGAGAACACATGAGAAAAGCAATTTTAGTTTACGCGTGGCCAACTAATCAGATTTTACCCGAATAAAATCGCGATCAAGCAAAGTGACCTCGTGTAAACTAGTCAGAGTCAGGCTAAGTCAGTCAGTCAGTCAGTCATCCTCATTATGGATTTAAATTCTAATGTCTGTTCACTATCGACGATAAGAGATTTGTTTCGAGATTTTTCTATAGAACGGCATGGGCGGACATAGAAATTGTTTTGTTACATCAACAAAAATCAGATGTAAAGTTGTTTTTTTTTTCTGTTATTACCACTCACTTAATCAAAAATCATCCTACCTACTAATACCAAATCAAATTCGCTTACCAGTGAACAAGGCGAAAAAAAGAAACTACAAATTTAAAATTAATAAACAACATCACGGCCTGACAAATTCTTCGATAAAAAGAAGCAAAATACACTAAATACATTACAATAGTTTGTTTTCATCGAGAAAACAGTAAAAGCATTTTCATTACTCATATATTTTTTTGTTCTATTACGAATCAATTTTTCGTAGTGAAATGTACGTTTTATTATTTTTTACTATGTTAACTTTTATTTAAAATAAAGAAAAACAAAATCGAAAAAATATTAAAATCAGTAGTTGGAAAAAGAAACCCAAAAACCGAATGAATAGTAAGTGTTAAAAACTTTGTATTTGTGTTTCTTGGATGCAAACTCTATAATTAAACATTTAAATTTAATAATTATAAAGCAAACTATGCATCATATATACTACTTTTAATTATAAAAACCTAACTGAACACACACACACAGAAATACAAAAACAAAACAATATTAATTTAAGCATTATTAAAGAAATAAAAACAAAATATATTGATTAACTATTGGAGCAAATTATAAACCTTTAATAAGTAGATTTACAGTTGGAGAAACGCTTTCATAGAAACCTATTTCAAGTCAGATGAGAAGAAAACCACTCCTAAAAACGCAAATATGAAGATCCCTGTAAAATCGTTTTCTTCTATTAATTAGAAATTGTATAAATTATATGAGATATATATTCGTACATACAAGGTAAAATCAATTTTATGACAGCAAAACAAGTACACAAAAAAACAAAGGAATAAGAGGAAGCAAAGTAAGAAAAAAAATCGTAGATGAACAATATACGAAATTTTTTGAAATATTGTATTGTATTTTGACCCAAAGAAACAAACCATTCAACAGCAACCAAATGTTGAGCAACTCGTTTAAACATAAAAGAAAATTTATTTGATAAAAATAAACAAAAAAACACTTGACATTAACGACTTTAATTTTGGGACAAAGTAAGGGAAAGTCAAATTTTAAAGTGTGACGAAATTTGACACTCATCACTCACTGCAATAAATGCAATAAATTTTAAATTGCTATGGAAATTTAAGGTTACAGCATGCTTGGCTACGTTCTAAGTAAACTTGTTTTATGAATAAAAACCCCTAATCTGATTGAAAATAACGAGCCAAAGAACAAGAAATAAAAAAAAAAGGAAAGAGCAGGAGGAGTAATTCGACGCTTGAAATACTCTCACACACTTAAATTAAAAGGGATTTAATTACAGAAACAGAAAATAATATTGTGATGCTAATAAAAAAAATAAGACCAAAGAGATAATTTAAAGCGGTTCTCAATAAAAACTGCTGAATTCGTTTTAAAGTTATCTTCAGTAAAACGATAAAACAATACGAAAATTAAATTCCTTTAACGGAAAAATTAAGAGAAGATAAAAGCGTATTATTACACGCGTGAAATAAACAAACGATGCAACTAGAACAAGAGAACACGCGAAAGTGCACGAAGACCAAGAGCAACGAGAGACGGAACAGAGACAACGAAAGGACGAACAATATGCGTAGCAGAAAGCGAGACATTTCTGCGAAAAAGAGCAAAGCGTAAATTAAGTTAAACGGCACCTAACAGAAGGGACAACAAAAACCCAACGCAAGAATCGAAAATAACACAAATATTAACTTTATATTGCAGCGCGACTATTCCTTCCAAAAGAGAAGGAGAGCAAAAAGAATTTGAGCCCAACATGCCAATATCCAGTCTGTCTAGCCTCTCTCGAAGCACTTTTTAAAGTAGAAATTGTCATGTACAACAAATGTTAGCCACTCGGCAACCCTAAAACATAACGGTGACAGACAAAAAGGAGAACGAAAATGGACGCCTAGCGAATAAAGTGAAGAGAAGCTCGAAAACGTTTTAAAGCGGTGAATAATAAACATGGAAAATTTGAGTATTTAGTTTTGAATTCTAAATGCAATTAATAAAATTAAAAATGTTGCATGTCCATTTTTAGTAGCTTTGACGTTAATGAGAAAATCCACTAACTCACATTAGAACTGCACGCCAAGCGAATTAAATAAGAAAAGGCAATTGAAAATGTTTTATGCTTTAACACATTTTTAATTGCATATTTATACAATTTTATAACTTTAATTTATTAATTGTAATAAACTTTTTTCAAATCTCAAGGAATTATAGAACGCGAATAGCTTATGCTGCATAAAACTGACTTGTCACTCACCTCGTTTGCTCAAAGCAACTGAATGCCTTTTAAATAAAAGTTTTACTTTAAACTTGCTTAAATTATTTATTTAAAAACTCTCGCACCAAGCGAACTTTACGAAGGCGCAATTTCAATTGAAAAAGAAGAAAGCGAACGAAGAAAAAGGAAGTAAAGGTGGGGCAACATCGATGAAAGTGTAATATCGATTGTGATATCGATGTAAGGCTAGAACGTCAACGTTTTTCCATCCCTTAACGTTTTTACTCCAGTTCTTACGAGCTCTGTTAGCTTTTACTCAAAACCTTAATTTCTGTAAGAAATGTTTGCTAAGCTTTTTGCCGAAATAAGTAAAATATAAAAATTATAGATATTTGGTTAAAATTTAATTTAATTTCGCTCTTAAAGTTTTTTTCTAAGTTGCAATTATATCTGATGATATAAAGAATTGAAAATATATATAATATAATGTATTTGATATGTTAAAAACTCATGCTGTACACAAAAATAATACAAAATACAACACAATTACGTCGACGCCATCGATGTTTTAAAAAAGAATCGATGAAATCGATGTGTGGCAAGAATCATCGACGTTTTTCCATATCTATCCAAAAGCTGTGTAGTTTTCCAGCACTATTTCGGCGCGCAATTTAAATAAATTACAAAGATAACGGTTTTAATGAACAGTCAGGATGATACAGCAATTCACATTTTCGAGGCGAATTTTGTCGAAACTGTTAAAACGGTGTTGGAAATTAAACACAAATAAATACACAAAATAATATTTATTTCAAATAAATTAATTGTCAACCTTACATTTGTTTAGTTGTTAATTGTCAAAACAATGCTGATTGGAAACGATGCCCAAAATACAATAAATATTTTTAAGATTCATTAAAAGCTCATTGGTCGATTTAAGTATAACTTATTGTTTGTAATCTCTGATCAAACAATAATTCACGTGTAAGGGCAGAATGAATATATTATATATTATATTTAATAATGAGAGGAAACTTATGAACGACCATATAATCGATCAGACATCACTAGGGTTTTTCTTTGTGATGTCACATTTCAAATAGATTAAGTCAAACAAGTTCACCCTTTTCAAGTTTTGAACGTTAGTTGGGGCTCCTCTTATCGTCCTGAGCCATCGCCAATTGGGAGCAAGTGATTACGAATTGGGGTCCGGACATTATCTTGGCTTATCAGTCCCAACCGAGACCATTCAGAAAATAAGGTAAATAAACCCGAAATCGAAGAACGAGTACTTCAAAATATGAATCGCAGGTTGAATATAATAAATAATTGTTTTTGTAATTCTCTCGTTTCGGAATACTGAAGTACTACGGTCACTCACAGTATCATTAAATTATAACCCCAGAATGTGGAGCCATTGAACCGAAGCGTTGCATTTAAACTCACAATTAACAAACTATAAACTGTTGTCTTAAAGTGCACTGAGAGAAAATTAATAACATAAGAAAATACTTGTTTGTTGAAAAAAACCACATATTTAATTAATATTTATGTGTAATCGTTTTTTTTTTGCTTAATTATCTTTAAATTTATACCGTGTACACCCACATCAGTAGGTCAAAATCTCATCTAATCTCAATTAGGTTTGACCCGTTAATAAAAAAAAAAAACATTTGTGCCGTTTAGTTTAATTACAGTAGAAACTAAGCGAAAAATAGTACCTAGTTACAAAAGTTGACGGTTGATCTTTAAAAGGAAGATAAAAAGATCATCTGTTGGCTTTTTTTTAGGCACATGTGCGACGGCTAAGCACAAATCATCATGACGCCGATTTTGATTCGGACCTTACGCACTGAGTGTAATTCCTAGTGTTCATAAAGTCGTCTTAAATGTTGTCTACTTCTTATGGCTTATTTTATTTTAGTCGCGTTCTACTTAAACTTATAATGAACTCTATAAACTTAGATTGCCTTTTTTTTCAGTGCCTTAATTAACGTTTTGTTAAGTTCTGTATCATTTTATTCTGACATTTATGTTTATTTTTCTCGCCGTTCTGAAAACCATTTTCCTACAGCCAGTTCAGTCGTTATCAAGTCGGCATTCGAAGTGGTTCGATCGGAACCCCAAGACTAAGAATCACAGATACTACTCGAACATTCAATCCATTCAATCCAATCCACTGAACTAGTCTGGAATAAAGTAAAAATAGTTCCACAGATTCTGTAAAGGCGATGCCGAAGAGAACATTTGCAAATTGAGTTGCATTATCAGAAGGAACAGATAACCTCCACCCTACTGCGTGGACTTGGACTCGAATCAGATCAGACCAGGCATCAAAAGGAAGTGGGAGTCAATTTCTATATATTGCAGAACCAACGTCGAGCAAAGACCCCAAATCAGTGAGTTTCCCAACTAACAATTTAGGCGAATAAAATTAAATTTTATTAGAAGATGCTAAAACGGTTGTTTTAGAAGTTTTTTACAATTTTAATTGATAGCAAAAACAAGCAATTGGTTAAAATAAGTTTCATTGAACAATCCTTTTTTTTAACACAAATACGCAGTGAAATGAGATAATGGTTATCACCAAATAATAACTATCGCAACCCTTTCAAAAAATGACTTTTAAAAGCAATTAAATAATATAATTATTACGTTGGCATTTATACTTGCTTACAATTCTCTTCCTACATTGATCTATAAACATTATGTAAATTCTTCAGCCCGGAAGAATAGTTGGCTTTAACGTCACATAGTTTAAACTTAACTGCCTAACTTTTCTAACTGTTTTAATGAATTTATATGCAATTATTTTTTGTTGCTGTTTCATAAAAACAAGTTGAGCTTGTTAAACAATTAATATGTTAACTAAGACTTTAATTTATTCACCAATTTCAGGTCCACGCTACCATGATCGGAAAAAATCGCATTTTGCGTACAAGTGCGTTGGGTTTGCTCTTGGCCACCTGCAGCCTGATCTCGTTGGTCTATATGGAACAAATCGAACGCTGGATGATCGAATGGTTCATAGTTCTCAGGCCGGGAACACTGATTAGCAATCTGTGGGAGTCGCCCTCGATGGACATAACCGTGGATTTGTATATGTTCAATTGGACCAATTCGGAGAACTTCAACGATCCCACGGTGAAGCCGAAATTTACGGAACACGGACCCTATCGCTTTACGGAGCGAATGCAGAAGCTGAATGTGGAGTGGCACGATGCGAACTCAACGGTGTCCTATATGCGTCGCAGTCGTTTCGAATTCGATCCGATACATAGTGCCGGACATCCCTCGGATCCCATTGTGGCGCCCAATCTGCTCATCGTCGGTTTGTACCAGAAGATGCTCTCCTGGAGTCCCATGCTGCGATCCCTCATGATGATGGCCCTCAGTATTTACGGCAAGGAGCGCACGATGGTGCGACCAGCTAGCGATTGGATGTTCGACGGATTCGACACGCCACTCATCAAAATGAACAAACTTGTGCCGCCCAATCTGGTGCCGGAGATGAATTTCCCCTACGAGAAGATCGGTTATGCTTATCCAGTAAGTCAAGTTATATATAAGTTATAAACCTTATAAACTCTATAAACTTAGTTTGATAAAGTTGTTGAATGATTACATTTTTCAAATGCAATTACTATTCAAAGTTAGTGTTCTAATTAAACTTAAAAAATATATATTTTCAGCGCAATGGCAGTATGGAGATCTATGGCCACCACAATGTCTACACGGGACGAGATGATTTTAAGAAGCTGGGTCAAATCGCTCGGTGGCGGTACAACAATGTCACAGAAGCCAGTCCCAGGTGCAAATTGAAGGGCAGTACCGGAGAGTTCCATCCAATACCGCTGGTGAAGGGCAGACCCATATCCTTTTTTCTGCCAGATCTGTGCCGTGAGCTGCAGATTGATTACTCCGGGACGACTGTCTTCGAGGGAGTTGAGGCATACGTTTACAGGGGAAGTGAACGCAATGTAGCTAATGGTGAGTCCTAAATAAAAATAAATTATATTGAAATATACATAAATAATCTCTTCACTATAATCCATGACACATTATGCATTCCAGGTACTGACAACCCAGATAATAGTTGCTATTGCCAAGAGAACTGCCAGGAGGTGAGATCCGGTCTTCTGAACATATCCTCCTGTTGGTATGGAACACCCGTCTTTGCTTCGTATCCGCACTTTTATAAGGCGGATCCCTACTATGCGGAGCAGGTGGAGGGCATGAAGCCCGAGAAGGATCGCCACGAGATGGTCATCATGCTGGAGCCCAAAACCGGAATGCTGTTGGAGATCAAGGCTCGAATTATGGCCAATTTATTAGTCGAACCCAGAACTCAATCGTAAGGAGGCTTTTAAAGTTACAGTCAAAATACTACCGTTATCATATCATTTTCATTATCATACTTAATTAGCGTAGTATAAATAAAGTACAGCAAAAAGTTTCTTATTTATAAGTTTCTGAAAGCTGTATTCGACAAGTTATTATATCTATATTATCTGAATCATTAATATAATAATTCCTACGAAGTTACTCATTTGATAATATGGAAGACTTTATCTAAATGCTAATTTTATATTCTTTAATATAAAAAAATAAACAATATAGATATGTACATATATAGCATGTTTCGAAGCTCTTCATGGTAAATTAAAGATAGGTTATTAACTGCAAAATAGCAAAAAATGTTTAGCTTAAATTGACTTAAAGTAAAGTACATATGTATGTATAAATCCTCTTATTTCTATTTGAATGTAGACCATTGTCTATTTAACTTTTAAAGGCCAAGAAAATACCCAAATAGAATATATAAAATACGCTTGCATGATTTTTTGTTTGCAGTAAGATATATCCAATAAATTTATAAATATATAATTTTATAATATTTATGTACATATATTGTAATCCTTAATATTAATATTTTCAGAATCTACCGCAAGGCACGAACGACGTTCTTCCCGCTAATTTGGGCGGATTATAATGTGCGGATAACAGATGATCTTCTGGGCTACGTGAAGCTAATACCGATCATGGAATTACTGGGCAAGATCGGTGGAATCCTGGGCGTGGCTGTGGGCGTGGTGATGATCTTCTGGTATCCACACCAGATGATATGGCAGAAGCGCTTTATGCAGAAGATCGAGATCAGTAGCCTGGAGGCCAACAAGATGACAGATTCGATGAAAAACAATGGTGTGGAGGAGTCGCCACTGCTAATAGGATTGCAATATACGGGGGCCAAAGGGGCGTCAGGAAATCCCCACTGAAGGTGGTAAATTGAATAAGTTTGTAGGATTAAGTTTGCAGGGTTTTTTCCTGCCTAGTCTACAGTTTAGGCCAATAAATGGTAAATGGTGTTCATACATACATACATATATTCGGTGCCTGAAAATTATCGAATTTATAGATTACTCGTTTTCGTTTTATTACTGTTGTTGTTTGGGGATTGTACGTTGTTTCTTATCAAACTGAATCATGCAGTTATGTACATACATACATACATATATACAAAAAGTCCCCAAGAAAAATAAATTACACACTCATTACTAATAAACAATTGTGTAGCAATTATAACACAAACAATATTAGCATTGAAATGAAAACGCCTCGACCGATGCACTTAGGTACATTGAATGATGAACCGATTCGGAACCGATTCAAGAAAATGTTTACACCGCAAAAGAGACAAACCAGTTTGTCTGACCAAAGGGGAAGAGAGTGAAAGAGAGTAAAAGAGACTGAAAGAGAACGGGTGAGAAAGAAATCAGATAATACCCTACAATTATTATCCATTCGTTAATCGTGTGATTAATTAGCAATTTTATGTCCAATTTTGTTTTTGTCTTTTTGCTGTTTCAGTATTAAGATAAGTGGAGCAAACAGAATGTCTCGATTTCGTTTTCTGTAAATACATACATACATTAATAAAAGACAATTTTTCGTGTAAAGTTGAAATCAATTGGCGTATAATGTTTAGGCATTTCAAAAAATATATTGCAATATTATTTAAGTAACAGCAGCTGGTAACACTGTTTTTTAAAAACATATTTCGCAAAGGGTATTTGACAGTCACCGCAGCCGACCGCGTATAGGCCTTAATGAAGAATAAATAATTGCTGCTTGGCGGCGACTCTTCGGAACATACTTATTTAGTCGCAGGCGCAGCGCGACACCGACATGTTCGCTCTCGTTCGTGCGCGTTAGTTCAAGATCGGCATTTAACGGCGCGTCGCCGCCCCACTGAGAACTCAGCGAGTGGGAGCGAGAAAGCAAATCGCAAGAAATAGACGCGTGCACAGAAACGTTTGAATACATTTATTTAGACAATATTTACACCGCCGTTGCAATTAAAATTGATAGCAATTGAAAAGTATTCGAACAATAATAGAAACGTGTCGCGAAGTGCAAGTGCAAAAAGTTTTAGAAATCAAGTCACTTAATAAACATCGTTAACAGAAAGAAAATGTAAGAAATTTTATGAAAAAACAAGGAAAGAGAGTGGAGAAAATGAGAGAGAGAGAGAGAGAGAGACAGAGAGCGAGCGCAAACGCGGGAGAGTTAAACGAGCCGAAATTCCCCTTTAGATAATTTTTAAGCAACACAAAAAGAGCCACATAATAGTTCTTACCTTTTTTGCGATAAGGAGTTATATTTGCATTCCAAAAACTGTGACGCATATCGATGAAACGGCAAAAAAAACATCTATGCAAATTACTCCCGCGCAGCGAATTATGTATATTTTTTGTTTTTGGCACATTGCACTGTGTTGCGAGTTATTTTTAGGCTAAAAGAGCAAATAAGGCAGAACGATGAATAACACATAGAAATAACATTGTCAACAGGTTGCGGAAGTGACGGCCAAGGTTCAAGGATAAACCGAGTGTTCAAATGCTCTGTGTTCATTAGTGTAGAAAATGGAATATTGCAATTGTGCGAAATTCGCGTGATGATTATTGATGTTTGAACAAATGATTGGACAGTATGTGAAGTTCATAATCTCTGGTGTAGGTTTAGTAAACCGCAAAATAATCAGAGCGCACGAGCGGGCGGAAGGGGGTGGGCGTGGCATTACTGTAGATAAAGAAAAAAAAAACTGAAAAACAACAACGCTAAACGGGTTTTTCTCTTAACCTCGCTACGTGTGCATTGTTAACAAAATATATCATCGGACGCAGTACGTGTTGTGCTACAGTGTGTATTTATTTAAAAATCGTTGAATTATCGCCAATAATGTCCGTAACTAAGGCTAAAAAACCCCCTCAGCCAGCGGTTGCCAACCAGCCCCAAGAAGTGTAAACAATATTCACTATAACGCCCCCACATCCCGCCCTTGCGCACTACGTTTTTATGGTTGTGTCAGGGTATGGTAACTGAAATGTGGAATATGGAGAGGTGAACGTGTTTTTGATCCAGTCAGCTCCACAGTCCGTGAATCAAAACAAACAATACTCGAGGAATGTGCCGCAGTGAATCACAGACTTTCCAACCTGAAAACATCAATAGTATTAAAATTCGGAGTCAGCTAACTGAAACAAAAAAAAACTTTAAATCAATAGTAACAAAGTTCGGAATCAGCATACGGAAAAAACCTCTATTCGATGTAGTAGTACAGTTTTTTGTGTACTTTTTTTTGGTGTCCATAACAGTGGTGTCTGGAAATTCTGTCTGACAAAATACCATAAAAATGCCTAATCAGTAATTTTTGTTTAATCTACTGTAGTGACTTTTTTGGTAATTAAAATATACATATAACAGATTAAATCTTAACATCAAAAGTACTAGTTTTATGAGTTCATATAATATCATGTTCTAGTACTGACCTAATACGGCCTGGTATAGCAACACTCACTTTATGGTAAAGAGGTCATGAAAGACCTAACATTCCAAAGAGTATTATGGCAGACGGGCAAACTTAGTGACTAAGCGTGGCTAATCAGTGTTCTATATATAATAAAAAGCTTTAGTCTCACTGATAACTCAAACTTCATGCTCTCTGGCAGCACCTGACGTAATTCCTGAATCGAAGAGAATAATTTATTTATTTAAGCCAGCCCTTTTTGGACCGGTTTTAAGCAACCCCCAAAAAAAAAACTACAACACCTCACACACATTCGTAAACATGTACATTCAAGCAATTATTCTGTTAATTTATCTGTGTACACTGTACAGTCATTCATCTGGTTATTGAATTTAACACTCCCTAAAATTGAGTATCTAATAAATTTGTAAATTGTTAATTGTTAAAAGAATTTTTCATGTCTTAAAAATCGTAATTTAAAAAAGTTTCTAATTAGAGAATGTTCCTCACAAAGGCTGACATACATTAATTTCTAATCACTTATTTTTCTTTAGAACTATAACAATTTTTATTGACAATAAATAAAGTTATTTTAAAAAATTAAAATTTGTTAGGCAGTTTCAAGTTATAAAAGTTTTACTTTACTTTGGTGACACCTACATAGGTAAGCAAATGACACTTTTAGGTATTCATTTTAGTATGTACATATGAAAATATATCGTTTGCGGTTTAACTTTATTACAATTAGACAGAAAATGTTTATAATTACGTCGCAGCTCAACTTTGTGATTGCTGTTTATGCGACGGCGCGTGATCATCGACCGCGCTCCATACGGCTCTCTTTCACTCTCCGGTATTTTCTGTCCGGAATTCCCCTGTCCCCGGAAAATCGGGTGGCGAGCCCGCCTGGGCCTCGAAAGTGTGATAAGACTGTACAGTGGTCTCTCAGCCGGCGATAAGCCCGCATGTCTCATATTCACATGCACATTCACATTCACTCTCTTTTTCTCTTTTTTCTATATAGACGCTAATAACGGGAACGTAGAGGGTTCCACTCAGTGCGACGCAAGAAATCGGTCGAGAAAGACGCCCATTTTTTATATAGAACATCGATCCCATCACCACTATACCACCCAACATCAAGATGACATCACGGGTGCGTCATTGTGCCCATCTGGGGATCGTCGTTCTTGGGATCTTCTGCTTTGTCAGTGGGATTTACCTCTTTCGCAACTGGATAGACATGTTTACACGCATGCGCGGCAAGGTTAGTACATGCCCACCCAACATTATTTGCATTTGCTTCGATCCTATCTTATCGGGCTTGATGGCAATCGATTCTCAGACCTTTGGGTTAACTTTCGCAATCCGGCAAATTGGCAAAATGTTCAAAGGTCAACAACTGAGAGCGGCTCATTTACATGCCATTTGGATCGACAGAAAGCCATTTCTTTCACTGATTGAAAACAATTGAGCGAAAAGACACCGAAAATTGATCGTTTGCAGGTGTTCGAATAATAAAAATCACCCCCATCCAATATCAGATAAGATATGAAAAAATCTAAATTCGAACCGAACCCTTGAAGAGAGCGTAATATAATATACTTTTAAGATCCCATTAGGACTGTGTGCTTTTAATTAGCATGTTAATGCTATCGTTCATTTTTTTTCTATATGTAGAGTGCTTAGTCACGGGAGTTAAAGCTCTTATTGAAAAATATTTTGCTTTAACTTTAGTGCAGTGAACTAAGAGCGAGGAACCTTGTTAAAATATATGTATATTTAGTAGGCTTTTGAACACTTTGATCACTGATCTTGAACTTATGTTGAAATGTCAACTGTATTTTGATCGGATAAGTTGGCACATTACGTTTATGTAGGCTTTTTACTAATCAGTAACCGTTTTAGTATCAATGATCTATAAAAATGAAGTATACATGAAAAACATTATTTTCTCAGAAACAATGATCAATCAAAGTTAATCAATTCGATAATTTTGGGATGGCCAGGTGTCTTTTGACTCACTGAAGTTTAGATCTCTTTTCTGGAAGTCGACTAATAATAGTAAGTGATTAATTGTCTTTATCGAGCAAGCGCACACCTGTCAATGTGAATCACGGGTTCCAATGCGAGGTCAATATTCCAAATCCAAATGTTCCCTTTTTTTGTGGTCGGAAATGCCTTTGAAAATTCTCGCTGCTATTGAAGTTCGAGTTGCGGCCACGAAATTGCAATGGGGTTTTACTATCTTATCTTGGACAAAACCTGAATAAATAACTCATTTAGCGATAGCCATGCGTTCGATTAGACAACGCTCTTCAATTCCATACATTTATGGCAAAAACATTCATAAACGGCCTTAACCATCTTTACCGGACATGTAACCACAATTTTGCCAGGTGTGATGACCCTGATCGAACACCTGTGTTCTACTGCGCTGTGAATCCAGGCCGATAGGCGTAATCCATTGGGATTTTAAAGGGCTTGTACCGCAAAGAGTCCAATTCGCATTTCATTTTATCAGTTAAGTCATTTCCTGTAGCCCCGTCGCAGTTTCAATTGTTTCTGGTTCTGGGCAATACAAAATGGTGGCCCAATAATTACGATCCAGACGATCATTCTGGCTTACAATGATTGATGGCTGATAGCACTCATCCATCAAATTCATGTAATCGCATTTTTGCGGAAATATAACCTATATATATATATATATATATATATAGGTTATATTTCCGCAAAAATATATATATATATATATAACCATACTTATTTAACTTAACACCAACGTTTTGCGTTCAAGGTTATTGCAAGCAAATAAATGTGAATTCCTAAAAAATTGTTTTTATCAATTGATCCATAATTCACACTAAAAATGTTTTTGGAACTACGTCGATAACTTAAAATGAGTGATTATGAACAAAACAAGATAACACTATACATTGAGCACAAAGAAAATTTGTTTTCGTTTATGTGTACAGAATTTAAAAAGGACTTACTGAGGAGCTTTTCTGCATTATTTTTAAGTTGTTTGGTTATCTTTTTTCCCATTTCTGAATAGAACAGTAAATCAATTGTTGAAAGGCATTTTCAATATGCACAAGTGCGCTCTTTGATTTCAATTATGAAACCTACAGCAAGTAGCAATTGCTCAGATCATTCGTATATTGCTCAGATCATTCAAATATTCGATGCGCATTTTTTTTGCCGACAAATTCAATATTTAATTGCTGTGGCAATTAAGCAACAAGTTATCCTCAGTTATGAGAGATAAATTATGTAAATCGTTTACCATTGAATATTGTTCGTCAATAATTATCAATTGTGTCAAGCTTGTTCTCAATTAAATGTTTTGTTTTTATAGGAAATGGCCTTGAGCCCCACATCACGATCATTCGAAGGTTGGAAGGTGTCCCCGCTGCCGCTAGACTTTGATGTCTACCTCTTCAACTGGACGAATCCGGAGGATTTCTATGTGGGATCAAGTAAAAAGCCCCGCTTTGAGCAACTCGGTCCGTATCGGTTTCGAGAGCACCCCGACAAGGTGGACATCAACTGGCACAATCACAATTATTCCGTGTCCTTCAATAAAAAGTCCTGGTTCTATTTTGATGCTGCCGGCAGCAATGGAAGTCTATCGGACATTGTCACGCAAGTCAATAGCGTGGCTCATGTAAGTTTTCAAAATAAAAAAACAAGTCGAACTTCTTAAACTTTAGATTGGATTCATTTTAAAAAGTATCGAACAGTTTAGATAGTTAAATTTATATGTTAGAAGGCGATTTATAGAAGCTACATTGGGATTATAGTGATATATTGTTCTATTTTTTTTTAAAATCATTTTATTAAAGACATTATGTAACTATATTACAAACACATTGTTAGAAAAGATAGACTAAAATCCATTAGGAATATATAATGTTGCGAGTTTATGTACTTAAATGTATATGTTAGAGGGCGATTTATAGAAATGGTATATAATTATATAGTTTTATTTCTGTTAAATCATCTTATTAAAGACATTTTGTTACTATTTTCCAAACACATGGTTAGAGAAGATAGACCAAAATCTCAAAAGGAATATATATATTAAAGCATTTGTTTTCCACAGGCTGCTGCTAGACGTGCTGCTGATAGCTGGTTGGGCAGAGCGACCGTTAACCTTGCCAATAATGTGTATGGCCAAAAGTTGACTGTCAGTAAAACCGTTGAAGAAATGCTCTTCAAAGGCTACGAGCATCCGTTCATCAAGGTCGGCAAGCTGCTGAGCCCTCAGGATGTGCCCTACGCACGCGTTGGCTTCCAGTATCCACGAAATGGCAGTGCCAACTTCGATGGCGATATAAACATGTTCACGGGAGCCGATGACATTGCCAAAATGGGTCAAATCCATACGTGGAACAATATGACGCACACTGGAGCCTTTGAAGGCACCTGCGGGCAGGTGCGCGGTTCCATGGGTGAATTCTTTCCGCCCAATCTGAGTACCAATGGCAGCGTTTACATGTACATGCCCAAGATGTGCCGTGCCATACCGCTGGACTACACCGAAACGGTCACCGTTCACGGAGTGACCGCTTATAAATTCAGTGGCACCAAGCATGCGGTGGACAATGGCACCATGTACCCGGATACGAAGTGCTATTGCGTCTACGGCAAGTGTATGCCAGTTGGGGTGATCAACATCGGACCCTGCGCCTTTAACGCCTCCGTCTACATGTCCTATCCGCACTTCTATCTGGCGGATCCGAGCTTTCTGGAGGCCATCGATGGTCTGCAGCCGGAACGCGAAAAGCACGAGTTCTTCATGACTCTGGAGCCCAATGCGGGCGTGCCCATGGATGTGGGCGGCGGCTTCCAGGCCAACTACTACATGGAGCCCATTCCGGGTATAACGTAAGTAATTGAATTGTTTATTTGGGTTAATTTGATTTTGCACAGAAGTTTTAATAGATTGAATTGCATATAAATGATATCGAATATTCATATAAATATATAAAAGTCTTAAAAAGCTTGAAATTTTATTTTTATTTAATTTAATTTTATATTTGTTTTTGATAAAGTTGCTAGAATTATTGGACTCAATTCATTGCAATATACGCTTTTATCTAATAGAACGATTAAAGTTTACCCCAACTTATGTTTTTGATTTATATAGAATAATAATTATTTTTAATATTAAAATCAACAAATAGTAGGGGAAATCTGATTATCTTTTTGAGGAAATGCGCTGAACAGAAACTAATAATTTTCTATTGTTGCAGAATCTACGAGAATATTCCGCGAGTGATGATTCCCATGATGTGGGCCGAGGAACGTGTTCGCGTCACCGAGGAAATCGCCGCCGATGTTGCCCTAGTTCCGCTGATTGTCCTGCTGGGACAGATCGTGACTGGCATTCTGCTGGCCGGCGGTCTCATCTGCACCTGCTGGTATCCCACGCGCCAGGTGACGCACTTCTGCCACAGCGATCCCAAGGCCAAGGCCAACGTTCTGCGTCCCCTCACCGTTTTTGGTGTAAATTCGGCGGCAGCCACGGCTCCGGTGGCCCAACTATTCCGCCACAATGCCAGTTCGTCGGGCAACGATCGCGTTGGAGTGCGACTGTTGGAATACAATCGCAGTTCTGGAGTAAAAGACGAAAGCGGTACAACAGAGCGATCGGCCAGAGAACGACTGATCAGCGAGGACTCACCGGATGTTGTAGTTAGATAATACGTTGGCGTTGGCATCAAGCCTTTCTGACGGTGCCTGCAACGATTGTCTGCCTTAGACTCATTTATATCGCCGTAGCTTAGGATAGCACAAAGTGATGAAGCCATTCTGCCTTAGCCAGGCCCACAGAGGCTGGACCCATTCGCTCAGCTGGGATCCATTGATCCTGATCACATTACATGCCACATTTCCACGCACGCCCATCCCATCCGCATTAGGAGTTCCCTCAACATGTCTGCACGCAATGCAGATAGCGAGAGAGATTAATAAGATTATTTATTTTAGTGCCAAAAAGAAAAGCAGAGGAAACCCAAGAAAAAGTCATTAACTATTTTAGTAGGCTGAACTTATCTGTAAATAGAGCGAGTCGTTAGGCGCCACATTCATTTCGCTAAACTGTTGAAGTTAAAACTACTGCGCATGCCCAAAGTATTTATATTTATACGATAATGCTTATTTTTTTGTAATTTGTAAAGCGATATTTTAGTTTTTATTCAAATTGAGATGAAGTGATAAAGAAAACATATTGAAAAGAACAGTGAGAGCGATGATTTTTCACAATTGCTCACTTAGTTAGGCAATCTTTGTTTTAAGTCTTGTACAAATAATGCTAACACTGCAAAGATTTCGCATATCCTATTTACGTATGTCAATCAATGTAAGATCTAAATACTTAGATAATAGAGCACAGCTGTGAACCCCCGGAAATATTTCCAAAAATTCCTTAAGATAAATTTAAAAACACATAAAACCAAGTGATCAAGAAGGGACTTTTTATAAATTCAATTGCATTCTTATTGTAATATTTATATAGCTCAAAAAATTTTCAAACATATCTTGTTATAAATATTGTTTCAACAAAGGGTGTTAAAATATATTTAAAAAAAAAATAAATTGGAAGTATATAAATAACTGTTAATATCAACCGATTTATATTGATTCATTTCTGTCAGAACCAACAAAAAGAATATAATGTAAACTTGTTTCTTATAAAAAAAAAATAAACCCTAAATTGAATGATATTTGAATTAAGTTACCTTTTTTTTATCTAAGAATAGACGGCACCCAAGGCTATCTCCAAAAAATTTAATTTAAAAAAAGGAGAATAAAATGAAAAATGAGAATAATATGAAATGTTTATAAAAAACTATTTATTGTTAAATCCGCTTGACAACTGTAACTATGTTAAACACCTATTAAACACCATTATATCCGCTGAAGCCAACTGGATAAAGCCCAAAAGCAGAGACTGACGAAACTGAATCCAAACAGGGACCTGAAGGTGCTGGCTCCGCTGTCCGAATTACCCAGATCCAATCGCGAGGCCAGCTCCTCCGGAACGTCGAGGTAGACTCGTTCCACCCCAAATCCAAAGATCAACTTGCGCAGCTTGTCCACATCCACATAGTCGCCGTCGGATGACCAGATGGTCAGGGTGCTCTCATTCGTTTCGTTGACCGTGGCAACCAGTCGATGCAGTTGCTCCTCGCTGTTGGCGGCGATGCCAGCGCGGACGGGAAAGGTGATAGCCTGGCCGGTGGCCAGGACATTGTTGGCAGTCAGTGACTCCAGCATGGCATCGCATTGATCCTGTGTGTACTCCCCATCCCGGAAGTCGGCGCCCCAATTGGTTGTCCAGCCAATCGAGAGTGCGGCCTGCTTGTAGCGCATGCAGCCGGCGAAGAAGCGGTTCGCATCCACGGGCACTGTCTTATTCTGATCCACGGGACCACTCAGGATGTCGGCGTTTATCCAAACAGGGTAACCTAACATCTGGAAAACAAGGTAAATTATTTTCGAAATACCATACCATTGCAAGTTAAATCGTTAAACATTAATTACTAATGGAAGTAATACTAGCAAAATATGTTTATATGTGCTCGGATTTATATAAACGTAATGAAAAGTGTTTACAAATTGCTATCGTACAATTACTGTGTGATTTTTAATAAAATTGTAATTACTATTGATGGCGTTATTCATAGCCTTATCTTCTGAAATAAACCTCAACTTCTAATAAAAACACAGCGTTAATGTTGAAATTTTTAAACAGATTAAAAAAATCTTGAAATATTCGTAATCTATAAGGCATTTAAATTTTTGTTCAATATTGTTGTTTTTTTTTTTTAATTTATGATTAAGTAATTTTCATCTGAAAGGCTTTTTTGTGCTTCAATTTGTAGTTCAACTCATAAATCTTATTGTCCCTGCTTAGAATGAACAAATGTCACAAAGGCAAAAAAAATTTAATAATATGATTTATAAATGTATTAAAAAATTAATACATTTTTAAATATAGGCTACATTGAAAAGATAATGGAATGAAAATAAAATAATATGTAAGTGTCTTATAAATAACAATGGGTATATTTGAGCCCCCAACTCACGTTAGGAACATTCTCGTCCAGGATGTGTAGGGAGCCTTCGAAAACCTCGATCGACTTAAAGTCGAGCTTGACGCCCTTTTGCTGACCCTCGTGATTCCGATTGAATGCCATGATTTGGTTGAGGAACTCCGCCAGTGTGAGATCGGAAATGATGGCCGGCGGATGGGCCATCACTGGCATATCCGCACCCTCGCCATTTAGTTTGCCCAGAACAATGTCGGCTTCGATGAAGTCGATGTTACCTTGTAAAACACTTGTTAAACTTACAAAAACGGATCTTTTTCTGTCTGCCCAAAACTTACCTGTTTCGGTGAGCACCTCGTCCAGTAATGATTGACTGTTGACCGCATGGGCCCAGGTTATGGCGGTCAAATTTGTGCCCCATACCTTTACCATATCCGAGTCTTGAAGAATTATTTCTATGATCCGGGAATCGGAGGATGTTCGTTGCTCCACCACCGAGTGGTACTGATAATTGCTGGCGTTCAGAGAAGCCCCATTGATTTTGGCCACGAGCACTGCGAGTGGGCGAATAGAACGATGGCATTAATATTCCATAATTGAACAATGGGACGCACAGAGGGCATAATACCACATATGGTTGATAGATAAGCTTCCTTACCATTATGCACGCACGAGTGTGCGTGAATGGAGGGAAATGAATTGTAATTGTTATGCTTATTTTATATGGAATGCGCTCAGTTCTGCTCTTTCTCCACTTTCACCGAATGCTGCAATGAAACTGCACAACAATACTTTGCTTTTGCTGCAATCTGTCTGCGGTTCCAAGGCGCAAACGCAGAGAGAAAAACAGAATTGAGAATAACGAGAAGTCATGTTTAGTTGGAAAAGTCGATGCATTTATACCCTTCAATGTAATTTAGACAGATAATAAAAGTTTAAATCAAAAATCAAATATCAAAATAGTTAAATGGTGTGCAAGTATGCAACAATATATCAAAAACGTAAAACTCCTTTAGATTAATTACAAAATACGATGTTTATTTTTTAAGTGCATTCTTTTAAACACATTTTGAAATGATTTTAAAGCTCCATGGATTTCTGTTTATCAAACTTAAACTTAAATATCTGAATTTTCTCCGCTTTTCCATCTACCTATATTTTAAAATATTTAAAAAAATTAAATGTTACGATATATTAATGTCGATCACATTATATTTATTTTTTTTCACTGTTTTGGAAACATCTGCTTATAGTTATAATATACCTTTTATTAAAAAAGGTAGAGTAACGAGAGACAGATGAACTTTGGCGCGCAACGTGGGGAATTTAAATTGCTGATTTCATTACCAATTAGTAGTGACATCAGTAGAGCGAAAATCGTTAGGCCCCCGGTGCAGTGTTTGAACAACATCTTGGCGCTGCGGTTGGATAGAAACTAAATTGATCGAACTTAAACTTAAAATACTGGGTTCTATACTTAAGCTTATCGATGGAATTTACTGATTTGATTAAACTTTGATTAAGCATTGTAATCAAGTCTTGATATTCCGCTTGTTATAAAATCTAATCGTTTAAGTGGGATCATTTTTACCTGACAGGGGGGATACTTTTTCTGAGAATGGAATTTGCAAGTAGTATTATATTGAACGGTTACAAGTTTAATGAATAATTTGTCGCACATCCTTCACACCAAGACATTATTGGCATGCATTTTAATTAATTAATTCTAATTTTATTTAAAATTAAATTTATTAATTAAATTAAATTAAATTAAATTAATTACTACATTCATAATTCATGTACAGGTATTGATAAACACATTATCTACAGTGAAATCAAGTAAAGTAGCTTTAAGCAGTAATTAAAAACGACAAATACAAATAAAAATACATTAAACATGCTTTTAGAATGAATTCATTTGAAAATAATCCAGTTACGCGGGTGTTATCGATAAAAACAGCTGACTTCTGTTAGGCTTAACAGAACATATGGTTCGCACAAGAGCAGTTAACTACACTTCGAACTTTCGAAGAGTAACGACCCTGTCTGCGGAAGTTCGAATTCTCTCTTAAGTTTTAGCCACTCTTTGGCGCGCAATTTAAATTTTTTTCAATGCCGTTTTGTTTTTTTAGTTAATGAGCTTATTATAACAAAAACATTAAAGTCGTAGATGAAGTATTTTGTACTTACAACGAGTTGAGTGATTTATTATATTCTTATATATTTAAAGATTGTTATGATTTTTTTTTATTAAAACCTGCATATGAATTTCCATTAATTTACTTAATTTTACCCACTTAATTGCTTTGGTACTTGATGATTGTCGAAATTTAACGGGTAGATATGATAAACGTACTTTTCCTTCTCAAAACGCTTAACAGCGGCGAAAAGATCGAATTAAGAGTGTTTCCTGCTAAGAGCATTGTCGGGGAGTATTTATGGGCGAAGAGAATTTAAGCACGCCATTCGAATCTCGAAGTACTCACAAGTTTCGAGGTCGAAAGTTGGCCGGCAGTGTTGAGTGTCGAGACTTTCGAAAGTATCTCTATCATTTTTTCGCTGTCGAACGGTTCGGACGTGCCGTGCGCGTAAGCGTGTGCTTGTGTGTGAGTGGCGAATAAAAATATCGAGGAAAAAGCTCGCACGTGCGACGCTTGCGAAAAAAAAAAAATAAGAAATATATATATTACGTAGAGAGGGGCACTGCAAGTGCGGAATCCAAATAAATATTCAATAACGAGTGCAAAAATAATTTGCAAGCGCAAAAAAGATTTATAAATAGTGCAACAACAACATCCACAACAACAACAGCAGCACAATAAAAAGAATTTGTCAGGCGGCGTTTGTTTTTGTTCTCTCTCCCTCTCTCTCTCTCTTGCATCTCTCTATCTGTTTTCCTCGCCCGTCTGCCGGCCTTCGTTACGCGTGTGTGCGTGTGTCTCCGCATCCGTGTATCCGTGCATGTGTCCGTGCATCGGTGTGTGTGTTTCTGTGCAGCGCAAAGATAAAAAAGTTGAGAAATTGAGATATACGAAATGAAATACAAAAATTCAACTTAAGAAATTGCGCCGAAGAGAAATTAATTTATGGCCAAAATTTAATAAGTGCAGGGCACAAGCCAGGGAAAAAGTGCGCACAAGTTTTCACCCAGCCGATAAAAGCCGGCCGATATATATTTCTATAAATACAACTGAAATAATTTCGAAAAATTCTAAACACGCGACAAAATAAAGAAAGAAAGAAGAATCCTGTGAGTGTGTTTGTTTGTGCTGAAATGCCGTCGGCAAAATGCTAAATGCGACTGCAACTAGCTGACAAATCAAACAAAAACCAATCAACAAATGTGCCAAATTGTTAAGCGTAGTGAAAGTGCAGATATCAGACAGCTTTGAGAATAAAAATAACAAACAAAGGATAGTAGAACATAATAACATGGATCCCAATCGTAGCCCCTTTAACAATATTTAGTGGAAAAGTAAAAGTAAAGGGTTTTCAAAACATCTTCTTTGATCTTGTAGTCTACAAAAAATCGTAGCCACTCCCACAATCACGAAACGACTATCTATAGATTCATCAAGAGAATCACAATCGGCAACTGGTAAAAATGGATTACTAGTGAGAGAGACCCCAACTTGGTTATCTTAAATATTGCCCAAAAATGACCGAATACGTGACGCCCATGATTAGCACCGTCTTGAAGAAATACCAGACGAGTGCCACGAAATCGCTTCAGGGGCCAGGACACACCCTAAAATCCGCCGGTGTCCTGGATATTTCCACCAATGGACGAAGTGAGAGTCCTGGCCAGGGCCTGTCCAATGGCAAGTGCCAAGCCTCGTCGCCAGCTGTGGCTCTGATCAAAAAGGAAATACTCAGTTCACCAGAACCCCAGGAGCTGCATCATGAATGCTCCTCGAGGGGAACGCCCCCACAGATATATCCACCTGCCACGCCCCCCAGGGAACTGTCGCAACCGATCCTCTCGGTAGCCGACTCGGGATGTGGTGAACTGTACGAGACGAAGTTGGAGGGAAAAACCATTGGATGCTTTTCCGTGGGCGGCGAAATGAGACTTTGCCTGCCCCAGTTTCTCAACAATGTTCTCAATGATTTCTCCCTGGAACAGATCAATCGGATCTTCGACGAACTGAGCATATACTGTTCACAGTGCACGCCCGATCAACTGGTGGAGTTTAAGGCCGCCAAAATCCTGCCATCGGATGTTAAGGCCAGTGGCTTAATCACCCGCACCGATGCGGAGCGACTCTGTGCCGCGCTACTCCATCGATCGGATCGCAATAGCTATGTCCCGATCGAGAGCCTGGCCAAGGGAGCACTCAGTTTCCACGTGTATCACAAGTGCTTTGGCAAATGCGAGGGCATCTGCACGCCCGACATGTACTCGTACCAGAAACCGACCTGCATCAAGTGCCTGGAGTGCGACGGCTGGTTCTCGCCGCAGAAATTCGTGGGTCATGTGCATCGGGAGTTCGAGAATCAAACATGTCACTGGGGCTTCGATTCGCGCAACTGGCACGACTATCTGCATGTGGCGCTGGACGTGGAGAACCGGGAGAAGTACCAGATCATCCTCGATCAGCTGAAGGAGGTGGAGCTCAAGGAGATGCACAAGGCGCAATGGGAATTGGATCACAAAAAGAGAAAGGTGAGTTTCGTTGAATATTTATTTTTGATTATATCAAAAAAATACTTTTTTAAAATTTTGATATCCAGCTATTTATATTTTTATTGAAATGAATAAGGTTTTTTTTATAAATAATGATTTTATGACTAAATCCAAGAACCATTTAGCAATCTCTATTAAGCAATTTTATTTGTAATTGAATTAGAATTTGGGCATTTCAAAAATATCTGCAATTTCTTTTATAAATATTGTTCCCTGATTTAGTTTCCTTATTTTCTTATGACTGAAAATCGGACCTCCGATTTTTGGGTTCACAACAACAAGAAAAAAATACATTTCGAAGATTTACGGAAGTTCAGAAAGTAATTTTCGGTCACTTTTTTGAAGATGTATGAACTTCTGATTGGTATGAACTATCTTGATGATTGCTTCAGCGATAGGTGCTTAAATATATTTTCTTCTTATAAAAAAACCCAATATACTTTAAATATATATATATATTTTTTTTTTTTTTGCATTTTTGAAAGTGTTTTGCAACACCTACAGATTTCTCATTTAAATCAGATAAATCTGCATTACTTTTTCATCTCTTAATTATAAATAGGAATTTCCTTTTCCCTTTCTATACCAGTCGTTAAAAAATTAGCTCAATCGACAAGTGCTATTATTGTAAATATAATGCTTACCTTGTTGGGCAGGTCAACAATTTCTCAGAACAAAGTGGATTATTAACTTGATAATCTGCCCGCCTTTCGTTCGCTCAATTACTGCTCTTTCCCCATTTTTTTTTGTGCACACACGTTTCCCCAGCCCTGATCTTAATTTTAATTATGCATATGAACGCCCCACGCCCACAGCAACAAATACGAGCGAAATAACGAAAAATTTCGGTGGCGACTACCGCGGCTCCATATTTGGACGAAGACGCCGTCGACACTTCCATTCACACTCAATTTCGATCTTCTTTAACGACACTTTTTGTTTGCTGTAAAAAAAGATATACAAATAAAGTACGAAAACGCTATGCAGAGAATAATGCAAAAATATGAAAACGAATTTCACCGCGAGCCATTTATAATGAATTCATAATAATTATAATTTCAATGAAGCTGCAGTTTATGGCGCTGGTTTGTTGGTCGTGGTGGGGTGTAAAACATTTTTTTTTTCGGCTAGGCCACTTTTTTTGTCATTATTTATTTAAACTACTTAATTTTATGCTTAAACAGCGCTTGCAAAATATTTTCACGCAAAAACAAAAAAAAAAACAATAAATAATAAATTTTTACGCTGCACAATTTTTGTCATTTTTGTTGGATAGGTTTGTTGTTTAAATTGTTGTAGCTGCCGCTGCATTTTGCGGTTGCCACGGCGTCTGCCGCATTTCGGCATGTTTGCCGCCGAGGCAGCGCAGCAATGGAATGGAGCTTATTTTTAGCTTTTCGCTCAATTTATTTTCTGCCCCGACTGCGCCTTGTTTGGAGCCTGCGGACAAAAGGCTTTCGATTTTGAAGTCGCTGTGAGGGATACACCCTGTGAAGGGTATTTTGGAATGAGAATGAAACTCCCGAGATACTAACTATAATATCTAGAGAACTCTTAAGTATCTTAGGTTGCAAATTTATTAAAAACTTCGTTATTAATTATTTTTGTATGTTATTCTAAGTACTTAAGAGTTGTATATTGTAATCGTCCTCTAGTAAAGTCTGAAAATTGCATACGAACTTGGGCTTTAGATTTTTGATTTTAATATAAAAATGTATTGGCTGTGTCTGATCGAACCAACAAATTTTAAAACTTCTTTTATAGTAACGTTTAGATCATTTGTATTATTTAATTTTTATTTGAAAAAATATTTTCCAGTCCTTTTTCAAGAGTATTTAAGTCTGCGGCACCTTTTCGTTCTTATTTTTTTGTACTTATTTTTATTCTTTGCTTAACTGTGTGTGTGTGTGCCATGAAAATCCGCTTCGACCAGCTTCAATGTTAAATATTCAGCAAATAATAATAATGAGCCAGTGCGAGCGAGACAGGGCGCGGGTGCGAGCGGGATGGGCTGATAACAGGGGGCGGGGCAGGGGGAGGGGGATCTGAGCAAGGGGGTAGCAACAAAAATAAATCGCAAACCGGTTGGCAACATTGTCTGCTGTGAAGTCTCTGTACTTTGGTTGGGGTTTTCGTTTTGGTTTTGGTTTTGGTTTTGGTTTTGGTCTGGGCCCTCGTCTCGTTATGGGATGTGGATGTGTTTTCCGTCTGGCAGAGTCGGATCCAATCGGATCGCTCGTATTGGATCGCATCTGAGCGGTGCCCATGGAATCCCTGGAGCGGGAATGGGAGTGGAAGTGGAAACCGAAGTCAAAGTCGCAGAAATAACAAAACAAACGGCTTGCGGCATATTTGTTGCGCAAAAACAAGATGAAATGAAAGGAGAGAAAAAAATGAACATAAAAAGAACATTTAAGGTGAAGAGAACCGAATTATAAAATAACAACGAAACGTTTGGGGGAGTACAAAAATTAACTTATATTTAATACACCAAATAGGGAAGTAAGACAAGGTAATTCTTATAAATTGGTATGTAAATCCATTCAAATAAATGTAGTTCTTAAATTATGCACAAATAACCAAGACAACATTTACCTCAATTCTTTTATTACCTTTAGGCAAGTGAGTCATGCCAAACCCTTTTTATTAATCGAAAAAGACAATAAATTGAAGGGAGCTTAGAAATGCACTTTATATCAATAAAATAGATGATTGCTAGAAAATATTAAAAACATTTTGAACCTATTGTCTTACTTTTTTTTGGGTTTGATTAATCCAACTGCAATCTTTAGACTTTCACTGCTTTCCCTTCCCCCTTCCTCCCTTATATAATCTCTCGTCAAAGTCCCAATTTGGACTTTGTTATTGAGTCCAAGAATTTAAATTTTGATTCGCAATTTTTTGGAATTTCATGTTTTGAAATCAAGCTTATTTGTTTGTTATGGCGGCGCCAACAGGTTTATGTTTTTTTTTTTTTTTGAATCCGTAACTGTTTTGTTATTTTTCTGCTTTGATTTTTTCGGTTTCTGGTTGCTCGGTTATCGCTCATAAAATTTCCAAATTTATGCTAATCTCTTTTATTAAGCTTATTTGTGTTGGTCGTTGTCATTCATCGTGTTTTTCTGGTTGTACATATACGAATTCAAACGGAATCCGTTGTACAGCACGTTTCGAAACCGCAAGAAAATAAAAAAAATGTAAGAAAAAGCTCCTAGTTACTTTTTTGTTAGCTTATCAATTTTTTTTGGTCTTACTAGTGATAAGCTTTTTCCTCTGTTGGCCACGTTTTGGCAAAATCCAAAATTCAGTCATGGTTTTCGATTATTTTCCCATCTAGCTTAGATTAAGTTGAGTTCAGTGCTGATAAGGAACGGTTAAGATTTATACGCTTACGTTGCCGCCTCAGTTTTACGAGGCGTATTAAAGTTTAATGAATGCGTATACGCCATGTGGGGCCAACATGAAATACAAATGAAATTCACTTAATTTGACGCGGACTTGAAATTAATATTCCAAACAGATCTGTCTCTTATGCCATCTGCTAATTGATAAATCATGGGGAATGTGTCGAGAAAAATGAAAAAATCTGGAATGAATAGCAATGGGTGCGCTTTTGTTAGATGAAGAAGATTATAGTTTATATAATAAATCACGAGCACGCTGAGATATTTTGCCAAGCAAAATGAAAATTCGTATATAAAATGTGTTAAATATGAGAATTTAAAAAACTACAATTAACTTGGGAAATAACCAATATTAATAATAAATCTGTCGCTAAGTTTGGTAACATTTTGTATAATTTGTAGGTATTTATAATATTTTAGCCTAATAGTTATCTTTCCTAGTGATATTTCCTGTTTAGTCTGAGCTTTTCCCATAGCATGTAAATCCTTGCACCATCAGATGATCTAAACTAATTGCATCTTAAATAAGCCCCACAAAATGCGGCGACCTAGCCTGATGGATCTGTCTAATCTCCGTGCTTGTGCAATATATTACCCCGCAGGGATTTCGCATCTTCCACTCCTGTGTATCTCAGTTTTCCATCCCCTTTTCTCTCCTCTTTTTTCTTACTTCCAGCTGTCAGTTGGCGATTTGATAAGCGCGATAAGCAAAGAGCGATCTCTTTCAGGCCTCCCAGCCGGACAGCCCTGCCCCATTACCCCCCTTTTGCCCGCGCCCCTGTGCTGGCAATAGATTGGACTGTGGGCAGGTCTCCAGACCAAACTTTTCCCAACCCACCCAACTTGTCATGTGATGTTCGCTTGTTCTTTCGCTCTGCTGATCTCTTCAGCTCTCCTTGCTGTTTTTCATTCGTTATATGTGTGTGTTTCGTTTTTGCTATATTATTATTAGCAAAAACTAAGACACACGACAAGAAAAAAAAAACACAGTGGATGCCGGGAAAGAAAACATTTAAAAATTGGTTTTTTAAAAATATTTTTAAATGATAAATCTGAAAATGTACTTAATTTTTTTTAAGAAATGAAAGAGTTTTATTGGTTTTGTTAGCTTTTAACTAAGTGTTTTTAAAAAGAAATTATAAATTTTGATAGATAATTTATCTGGCTGGACTCAGATAACAAAATTCCTTAATTTGATTAAAAGTTGCATTCATTTTAAGAATAATTACCGTAAATTTTAGCCTTTCATACTAAATTTAGGAACTTAAATCAAGAAATTTGCTTTTTTGAGTGTGGAATTTTTGGATTTTAGAATTGTCACATTTTTTAAAGACCACTGTAGATTTTGTTATACCATGTTGCAGAAGGTGCGGCCTTCTAGTTGCGATTTATAAAGAGTAGAACAAGACGCAAGTGGGGATAGGATGTTTAGAGGGGGCGGTGTTGCTTCGTTAGTGGGGAAGGTGTATTCTACGCTCTGTGTACATCGTTTTGCTTTTTTGCATACATTTATCGGCGCCGTTCTCGTTCTCCTTGTTGTTGTTCCAAAATGTGTTGCCTTCGTTGTTTTCCTTG